CTCATAAAGGGAGGTTTTAATTGATTTTGCAAGCATTTCTAATTAAAACACCAGTGGAGAAGAAAGAATATTAAACTCCATTTTTTTTTCTCAGGTAAGCAAGTGTCTTGGAATTATTTATGCAAGGTGTTGCTATAATAGTCACCCATAACTATTCATGGACCATGTCTTCTGCATACAGAGGTAATTCCTCAGATGGTGCAAGCTGTCATAGTATCAGTAAATTCATAAGCAAGATAGAGTTCACGAGCTATAGGAAACAAATACTGATGTTGTCAGAGCCCTTTATGCACTAGTAGGCCTTAATTACCTTAATTAGCTTCATCCAGGATCTCCCAATTCATACATCTTTCCCATGTACTCAGAAGGTCTTGGGCCTTCAGACCTTGACAGTGCTTCATCTTTGCCACAAACTTGTCTCCCACTCTTCTCTGGCCACATCTCCTGCATGAATGAACCTCTGTCGTGATTTAATGATTTTTGTTATGAGTATTCCACATCATAACATCATGTAGTACACTGGGAGATAAATAGTTAATGCTCCAGTTCCATGGATTGTTGATATTTTTATGTAACTGGTTCTCAGAAGACAACTATTGCTTTACCTTCTAATGTGTTACAGGGGACCTAATATAAATCTATTAAACAATTAATTATAATCTTTGTCAATATTTGCCTTGGTATTAATATATTATTTTAATTCAGCAGTATCAAAATTAATTTTCTTGATCCAGCCCTGATAAATCAAGATAATCTCAGTTCCTTTTGAGAAACAGGACAGCAGCCCTGAACAAGCATAAGCTGTCTTTTTGTCTCTAACATATAAGATATAAAGGCACGGTAGAAAAATAATTTCTTTTTAGAAACAGTCACTCACTTCATGCATTTGCACGTTGGTAGCAGCCATGGACTGATCAAAAGCAAAATTACATTTTTTCTGATTAAGAGCAAGCATTTCTGGTTAAAACTTTTGTATTTTCCCCTGCAGTTAACACAGGATGAACCATGTTCTGTTTGTTTCAAAACTTTGATTTGAGTGAAAATTTTCATGTGACTGTACATAGCAGGAAAAGAGACCTTAGAAGAACTTTTTTGCCTTTCTCTTTGCCAATGTCCAGTCTACTCATCGTTATTCTTTAATGATCAAATATATGTTGTATATTGCTATAGCACACATACCAACTAGAGTATTAGCTTCCTACACCAAAGATGCAATAACTTTTGGTTTTAATTTATTCAAATCATCTCGGGTCTGTTATTTAAGGCATAATAATGCTGTTGGATGTAGAAAGTACAGTGGCATTTACTGATGATAAACAATATATAAAATCTCCATGTGGTTATTTATTGAATATACTCATTAATAAATGCAAGTAAGAAGGATAGTGAAAAAGGTGTACATGCTCCATGGAAAATTTACCTTCCTCTGTTACAGTTATTGCTAACATAGAAAAAAAAGAAAAAGAGGCAAATTACATAAATTCTTGCAGAAAACTGCAACGTTTATTAATAGATTTAAAAGATTCTGAGACATTTATTGTATCTTCTCTTTCTCTAATTTAGCAAATTACAATGTCTTCCTAATTTAGCGACAAACTGATTCATTTTTCATTCCACAAAATCTGTCTTTTCCTGGTCATTTTTGAACTTTTAAATTAAAAGATGTATACAACTCACTCAATGTATATAGACGGTTAATAACCCTTAGAAAGTAGCACCAGAACTGTAGCTGCTGAAAGTTATGGGTTTTCTTGCAGTTGCTTAATCAGATACAGAAATTCGTATTATTTGGGTATTGTAACTCCAAATTTTCAGATACGTGTCTTACTTTGCTGGGATCCAAATGTCACGTATAATGTCACAGCAACTTGTCACAGCAAGCAAAATGATTATTCAGAGAGGAAATCCATGATGGAATTCATTATAACATCTATAACACCTTCTCTGATTTCAGAAATATTTTAAGTGTGAAAGTGTGAAAATGGCAGATTTTGATTAATATGGATATGTAATAAACTGATTATCTTTAGTGAAGATCAGATAGGACGTGAGATTGTTATGCAAAACCTCACTTGCAGGAATAGAGTTCCTAATGGTATAACAAGGTAAGGCACTAGGAGCTTCACTTTTTTATATTTAGTCTTTCCTAATCATAACCTCTAGTGCTGTAAATTAGCACTAGCTAATAGCTCTGGCTATTTCTTTCTGAAAAAAGCAGCTGAAGAACTGAGTCATTCTATATTTCTCAGTTTGCCTCACTTTTCTTTTGTGTATTCCACTGGGAGTTGATTGTGGATGTCAGAATTCAGAAGGTGGGGGAGGACTATGGAAAATCTCTCTGGACTGCTCAGCTGGTTCCTTTCCTTCTCATCCTCCCTCAATGAGGGTTCCTGAATGAGTTCTGGGTATAGGAGATGACCAAGGAGTATGTAGGCAGAAAGATAGGAACTTTTCTCAAAACACACAGGAGAAATATTCAGAAGATTTTATAAAGCATATTATGGAATATTTACAGAAAATACAGAATACAGAAAAACTTCTTTCTATATGTTATGAAATGCTTCTTTCTTTCAGAAATAACATTGCTACGAAAGGGCCTACTGGATTAGTAAGCATTGTCATAAGAACTGCATAATTAATGCCTCTTTATAAAAGTAATTAGATTATCTCAAATGAACCTTCTTCTAATTTCCAAACTTAACTTGCTCCTAGCTACTTTATATCCATTGTTCAATATAATAAATAACTGGGGAGAATACCTGTAATATATAAAAGTATTTAACTGTTGTTTGTTCCTCTGTTCTAAATAAAAGTTGCTCATTGTACTACTGAATTTCAGACAGATTCTTTAAATCTAATCCTCAAAATTATTCTTTATATTATGTGCCACATTTCAACCCAGCTGTATACTGGCAGTGCCTTCAGCCTTTGCCTCACCAACTCTATGACCAGAGGGTTTGGTTTGTAGACATCATGCAGAAGGTAACTTTTAGCAGGGCAGTAAAAGCAGAGACAGCCACAGGATTATGTTAAATCAATTAAGTTAATAGGGGCAGTGAATACCACTTCTAGTAAATTAGTGTATACAGGAACAGTTGTTCTGTGGGATAGCTTTGTAACAGTGAAAGGGATAGCGTAAATGTAATGTACCAATGCAATCACTGTTTCAAATTAATGCAATTACCTAAACAGTGCATAACATATCTGATAATAGTTGTTTAAATAGCTTCAGAATTTCTGTAGCCAGAGAATATCTTCTAGGACACAATACAGGATTGCCCTGGGGTAATCTCACAGTGCTACAAATTTCACATATGCTAATATTTAAAGCTACTCAAAAATGGGTCTTGGACAGATATCAGTTGTTGCTGCTGAGTAAAATAGAGTAAAATCCTGCAAATCTTTGTATGAGGTGAATGGTATAATTTCTATAAGACACATAGGATACATATTGTAGGATTACATATGATTAAGCCAATAAATATCAGGATGAAATACCTGAGATGGCCAAATACTTAGATATTTTCAAGAGGACCTCATGTAGTAATCTCTCCCCTTCAAATTTTAGCCCCCAGGCACTATTTTAGCTCTTCTTCTCTATCTAGGGAAAATCATAAAGAATGTCAAGATTTAAGCTCATTTCCAAAGCAGACTTAAAACAAGCCTAATAGTAATGTTTGCAAACAGAACAAAAGCATTACACAAACCATTCTCAGAAAATGCATGCACTGGGAAGTTCTCCATAACTCAGCATGAAATATTTAACCGTGCACAGCTGTGGATATTTTACCCTGGGTCTCTATTAGAATGCCAAAGTAGAAAGAAAATCTGAGGAAGCAGATATTCTCAGCAGGTTTACCACATTTAATCAGAATAACATGCTAACTTAAGAAGGACTTTGTAATTACCGTTGTTACTTTGCTGAAGAGCTAATAAATGTAATGAAGTTTCACTCTTTAAAAATAATCCCAGTAGAACACACAAAAGCTACAAGAATCACAGTGAAGCCACACATTTTATTAGACTATTTTGCAATAACATTTTATTCTCAAAGTTGAAGGCATATATTGCTTTTGAAGCAGTCACTGAAAGCAATTCAATTATATATTTACAACAGTGTTTACCAGAAAATTCTCTGTTGTTCAACAGAGATTCTTTCAGAAGCTTCCTTCCAAAGAGCAGCACAGAGGTACAAAATTTGGTTGCTTGCTGTTGTCTGTTATGTTAATGTCAAAGATACTGAAGCTGGGATGTAAGGATGGCTGAATCCACAGAGGCATAGGTTTGTATTCTAGATTTATTCTTATGTTTTTATTCTAGTATTAGAATAACTCTAGTGCTAGTATGTGCTTCTTCACAGGAGTTACTTCTGTCGAGTCCCTTCCCACACTGCATGCTTCCTACTGCTGCATTTCCTTCACATTCCATATAGATCCCATCCTGCACTACATATGCATCACTCAAGCCTGAATAGTCAGGAAAGGTACAAGCACATGCACATACAACACCCAATCCCTTGAGAAGGGCTCATAAATCTAATTGCAAATCAGCTCTGATTAACCATGCCTAGTAAAATATAGACAAACAGATATCATCTAACACAAGCATCAAATTATCTCCTCATCAGAAAGGCACACCATTAAATTGTGCTGTTTGACACTAACTCCACAGAAAGAAGCACTTAATTGATGTCATCATGGCCAGCTTCTCTTCACATCTTTCTACATCAGTGACTTCCCCTTTCATTTCAAATGCAATTCAAGCCATTGCTCTCTCCCTTCCAGGCTTCTCAGTCCACTCAAGCTTTCATCTGATTTGCCTTTACAATTTCTCCCTCCTCTTGTTCCGTACACTTTGCAATCTGATTAGGAATCTGTTTGCCCTGTTAGGCTTTTGAAACCATTTATGGCTATCATTCAGGAGATTTCTTCACTGTCCCTGTGTATACCAAAAGCAGTACCACAAATTAACCCATTACTCCTCACAAAAGTTTACTCACCTCAGTTTCTATTTTAGAATCTCATAGAATCACCAAAGTTGATAAAGACCTCTGAGATCATCCAGTACAACTATCCACCTATTTTCAGCCATTTTATATTAGGCCATACCCTGGTGTAGAGAATCCAGCGATTTCTTGTAGACATCAGTTTTACTGGATTGAGGGGAACTTCCATGTCCTGTATAATCAACATATAACTGATTCCTTACAAATCAAGAGACCCATTTTTTTCCCTCAGCTTTGCTTACAGCAACTGAACTGGCAACAATTTGTTCTAGATTTGTGGAAGATTTATCAAAATGTTTCATTCCTCTTGGAAAAAGAACACTCAGAAACATGTGAATTCAACTATGTGTGACCTGTCTGGTCCCATATAAATGAATCTTTTGCTCATTTTTTTCCTTGTAAACACATGTATACCAGCAATGAATTTTATTTTGAGCTTAGGACTGAAAGACAACCAAGAAAGCCAGAGTTCTGAAGCCACAAACCTGTCTTTTGATTTGCCTTTCTCTGTTCCGTCTGTCTTACGTTCTTCTTCCCAGTTTGTTTTAGATACATCTCATTAGTGTTCGTTTGGCATTAATCTAAGAAGAAGACATTACAGAACACAAAACAAGTGCATGAATGATTCACTGACAAATTCATTTTCTACATAAATTGTTGTAATCTTTATTCTGTTTCAAGGAGAAGATGTGCATACAGCCTTATCTCCACTCGGGGTATATTTTAATAAGAAAGTGTTGGTACTAAAAGCTCACTGTATGAAGTCATAGACTGGCTTCTGTATCTGGACCTCGCTCTAAATCTTGCTATGTTGTATGTAATTTAGAAATCTAAGGAATTACACTTCTTCTGTTTAAACAACAACAATTAATATTTCCCTTCCTGCAGGATTTAACAGGGGCCCTTAGTGGTGTTATGAAGAAGAGAGGGAGACTTGACAGACAGTGCACACACAGTGATATTTTTTTCCATCCCCGATAACACTCTTGAGAGTATACTCTCCTGTAAACTGTTAAGAGCAGGTCTGTGATGAAGAAGAACTAGTATCAATTTTGGGCATTGACATCAGACTTGAATTTAACAAATAAATAAAATAAATAGTATTATTGATAGACTTAATAGAATAGAATCATAGAATCATAGAATCATTAATGTTGTAAAATACCGTTAAGATCATCTATTCCAAGCATCCACCTACCACCAATACTGACCACTAAACCACATCCTTAAATGCCACATCTTCACATTGCCTGAACACCTCCAGGTGCTCCACCTCCTCGAGCAGCCTGTTCCAATGCCTGACTACTCTTTTCAATAATAAATTCTCATTTTTCCCAATACCCAGCTCAAATTGCTCCAGGGCAGGTTCAAGTTATCTAACTTGTCCTGTCACTGTTATGTGAGAGAAGAGGCTGACCCCCACCTCACCACAGCCTTATTTCAGAGAGTTATAGAATCACAGAACCACCACGGTTGGAAAAGACCTCCAAGACCATCCAGTCCAACCATCCACTTACCACAATACTTCCCCACTAAACCATGTCCTTCAGCACAACATCTAAATGGCTCTTGAACACCTCCCTTCTCAATCCAAATTTCAAGATGAGCATGAATGAATACTGCTTTGCTAAGATATTTTATATGAAGATTTTTATCATGTAAGTTTCTCTCAGCTGTCGGTTCGTGATCAGTATCAAGATCAACAATGCAATGCTCACGAAAAAATTGAAAGCAGCACATGGACATACAGTTGGCTGATTGTGTCAATGTATTCATAGCTGGAAGATAAGGTAGAGGAAAGCTTCTACTATGGCCTCAATCAAAACAGCATATTACACTGAAAAGTATGGTGTGATTTATAGCAATATAGATGTATACATAGTTCTGACTGTACCAAGTCACTCGATTTTTTTCATGCTAATCTGTGGTTCTCTTCAGTAAGAATTTTCCTGAATTTTCATAAGGTTATTCATCCAAAGCAGAGTTTGGGGTGCAAACATTAACAGAGTTTTAAATGACGACAGTGTTTGTTTAAACATGAAGATACCTTCATAGAAGAAGATAGCTGTGGAATGTTGATGCATTCATCTGACGTTTTCAGTTAGGTTGCCTGGAGTTTCATCCAAATACTTCCTATGTGGTTGTATTGAGTGCTTTTTCCTGTGTGACAAAACAAAGATTAAAAATGCACAGAATCATGTGTTGTCTTCTGCTTTTAAGTGAGACTACAAGAGCAAGGCAAAGGACGATGATGCAAATTAATGGAAAATACAATAAAATCTTTGCACAAGAAATGAAAATCAAAGGAAAATTCTTAATAAATCAGCTATTTAACCATTAAACTGTAGAATAGTCAGACAAAGAAGGAAAGAGGAAATGTTTTCCTATCTTCTGAAATGATGGCTGGAATAAACACGTCATATTTCATCCTTAGTTATTTAAAGCATTAAGCTACTGAATGAGTAAATATTCAAGCTCCACTGAGAGCTTTCTTGGCACTGTTCACTGGTATACTTAGGTATTCGATGAAGACTTCGAGATTTGCAGCCATGTTTTTGAAAGCTATTTTAAACATATATGACTTATGTCTTCTGTGGTTAGTCTCTTGCAGTTAGCTCCACCATCAAGTAATATTTCGTATTAATGTCACTTTCAAGGAAATTTCTATCACTTGTACTTATACAAGATTAGGCATAATCTAATGCAGAACTATATGGCTTGAGAAATACTATGTCTCAGAAGAAGGTATCATCCTAGTTCTTCTTATTTTGCTTTGCCTTTTCTGACAATTCCTCAAATATTTCTCAGTGCTTTTATGTGGAAAAACTACTTCTGTTTGAACATGCCAGGGAACACAACAAGAGTCTTGATTTTTAGCTGTCTTCCAAATCCCTTCTGATAATCTCTTTGCAAACTCTGTTCTGCTTAGAGTTAGAAATATATCCAAACAATCTTATATCTGCTTCTCAGTCTCTACAGCTATTAAAATGAAATGTAATCTTGTCTAATGAGGGTTGAAATATTTCCCATTATTAAGAAATATGACAGTGTTGGATTAATATTGTAAGAAAACAAAAATAATTAACACTATTGAGATATTATTCGAAGAAGTGATCCTTGCTGTTGCTGAGAAAAGAACGACATAAAAAAAAGAAAAAAATAAAAAGAATCCAGTCAGTCTATAAATTGGATTTAGATCAACACAGAATCCAAAATCCCACTTGAAATTATTAAATGTATAAAGCTTTTTTTCAAAAGCTGTTCTACTAAGTGCTGTAGATTCTCAAGTAAACATCCAAATACATCAATACCAGACTGAAGGATACCCAGCTGCTCCTCATGCTGCTGTAAGAACAGGGTGAAGGACTCTTTTTGTATTTTCCCAGACTGAGGAAGTAGACACCACTTGGCAAAAGAGAACTGCTGCATACAGAAAGTTAAGCATGGTTTTAATCCTTGAGTACGTGACGTGTTAGCATCTCCAATGAGATTAAGAACTGTTAATTCTTGCACTGTACTTACACTGGTGTTAATCCCACTTTAGAGTTCCTCTATTTGCTAGTGAGATAATAGAAAATACTGCTTTGCTTCATGGTGACATTTTTTTGCTCCCTCTGAAATGCATGTGATTATGAGAACTAGAATTATGTTGTAAGGTGACTTTAGGTGGCATTACAATCTGTGATGATACCCTCACAGCCTCTGCTTTCAGGTTCAAGACATTCATCAGTGAGGCAGACTGACAGGGAATTTTTCTTTATGAACACACCCGGGAAGTCTAAGACATAATTATGATCTAAGCGTTGGTTTAATGAGAGCTTTCCATTGTAATTTCTGTTTTCATAGGTGCTGTGAATTGTGAGAAGGTTTCACAGTTCGTTATGTTGTTCTACCTTGGGTGTCTGTTGCTTTTCCCTGAAGTCATAAACCAGAAGCTACAATGAGATTATTTCCTGTGTTCTGAGTTCACATCTGGATACAAATTCTTTTATTATTTATTGACCCATGAAACTCTCACAGTGAGCAGCTACTGGTAAAGAGAAATCCTGTTATGTTCCATGTCAGTCTCCTGGGTACTTTGAAATTTCTTACCTACAAAACAAAATTCCTTCAAAAAGCCCAAGTATTTTTCTTCTTCAGAGTTAGGTACTCGGTTGCTGTGCTTACTGGCAAGGGAAAATAGTACTGTGGTTATGTAAATCATTGAAACATGGATTATTGGAGCATTAAAATATCTGTCAATTTATTCCAATGTTAGGAATTAAGCATGATGTCTACAAATGTATCTGGAGTAGGTAATTTCTGGGATATGGATGTATAAACATGAAAATTGCTACTAAAATTATTTCCATAAGGAAAGCATGGTAAATTGAAGAAAGATTGCTGTTTAAAAATTACATCCCTTTCTAAAGTATGGTTCTGAAATATTGATATTCTGCATGGAAGAGACTTCAAACAATCTCCCTGCTACTTTTATCTTTTTAACAAACTGATAGAAGAGTGGTGCTAACAACTGATTTTAAAACTGAGGGTAATAACCTTTTATGTCTAGTGCTTAAATAAATTAAATACATATAAATAAATATCAATAAATAGGGAAAATGCTTTTTTTTTTTTTTTTTTTTTTTTTTTTTTTTTTTTTTTTTTTTTTTTTTTACGACAGGACTGTTTAGTAGAGATTTATTATAAGATTCATCTGGTTTATTAGATTTTGTTCCAAAAATTGTAAAAAATACTGCAGAGGTAAGGTATTTGTAATAAAAAAAAAAAGGCTGAATTTGAATTACTGTGATTTCAGCAATAAAAATAGTTCAGGTGTGACAGAACAACAACATAAGATGGAGCAAACATTGCTATAATGTTGGAAATATATTCAGGAAGCAATTCATTAACAGCTTTACCTTCATTTTAATTGCATTACCACTAGTCAACAAATGCCTCAACACTATTTCATCCTTATTTGTATCTTAGAGGCATTAAATCACTACGGTACTTAACCCTGTCCAAATTATCTAATATCAAAAAAGCTATTCTTTCACTAGATGTCACCTGCTACAAATGGTTATTTGCTCTCTTTCTTTTTCTCTACTGCTGAGCTGTTGTACCATAGAGCAATTACAGGCCTTACAACCTGGCACATCACAAGGTTTATGGTTCAGCTCCTCAATTAGTAAAAAAAAAAAAAATGCTATGCCAAAAGTAAATCACACATTTCCTACATTCCCTATGAGACTTTTAGTTTTTTATGTTTGCTTTTATATCAAGTCAGACTCTTTTCTTTTTATGTCTAATTAAAATCATCTGTACAAATAGCAATAAAGAAAATCCAAATAAACATGAATTGGTTACCTACAAAATAAAAATACTGCTTTTTGGCTGCAAGCGTATCAAATCAGATTATTAGCTCATATGTGAAATTTCGTGGACAAAATGTTTTACTGGAGTCTGACCACAAATTTATGTGAACCAGGAAAATCTTTCTAGCCTCTTTGCAAAAATCCAGATCTCCTTCAAATATTACTGCTGTTCTCTTAATGCATTTATTACACCCCAAAAATGCACACATTCACTAAATTTCCAAGAGCAGCCATTTATAATTTTGTATTTTCTTAATGGAAACATGGATTCCTTTTTTTTTCAGTGTTTTCTAGAAACAAATTACACAGACAATACATTTTTTTTAACTGAGTGTGACAATTTTCTAATAAAAACTAATTTTCTAGTATCTCTTTTCTCTATTCTGTGGGCGCTAAGTTTCCCTGGGGATCAACATAGGATACTGCACCATATAGCACTGATTCAGCACTTCAGGATCTTGTTTTCTTCCTGTGCCACAGCTGAACAATTTGGCATATGACTTTCAGTGGGGCTCCATGAAAGAGTGATAATATTTCTGTTTTTTCATCAGTTAGGGATCTCAAGTAGAAGATTGTTGCATGAATGAAGAATTCCAAAAATAAACCATGAAGTGATTCAGATTATTTTGCCAAACAATAAAAAGCAGCAACTTCTCTACATGAAAAATCAGATCGGTTTAAAAGCTGCTTGTTTTTCTATCAAGATCTTGCAACCAATATACCTGCAACAGATACTTTCTCTGGGTTTTACCTCACTCTTTCAAAATAGACATGAGTCCTCATAATATTTTTGGCGTACTAAGATATATTTAAAAAATGAAAACAATCAATTTCTTTGAGGAATATTTACGTCTAGTTGGACATTTAAACATTAAAAAGTTACTGCCGATCTGTGCACACATTCAAGCACATGATAACAATTCTTTTACCTATATGAGAATTATGAATTATTTTCTACTGAGAATATCAAAAACCCAAGAATAATTTAAGATAAAAATCATAATGATATACTATTGTTTTATTGGTTCCTCTTAAGCAGTCTTACTGGTTATAACAAAGTTAAGTACTTGAAGTACTCCTGATGGTGATGTCACATAACTGACCTCAAGGAGTCTGATACATTATGTACAGTACTACTACTGCTCACAGAAACTATGTGTGAAAGGAAGTAACCAAATATAATATATTCAGAAGTTCTGACTAATATGACTGGCAGATTCTGTAGTGTTCACCAACACAGTTCACCAACATCAGTTACTAATGTCCAGTGTTAGAGAATAAAGTAAAATGACTTCACTTGGTATAAAAGGAGAAAAGTATTATTTAGACACTTGAGATATCTGTGGTATCCTTTGACAAGACTGAGATTTTAATCAGTTATCCAAATTTCAGATATGGCTTTATTATTAGTAATAAGTACAGAGAATACAGAAAAAGAATCAGGTTTTTTGTTAGTTTGTTCTAACAGAAGGTAAGATACCTCTAATTTTTTTATGGAGGAAACAATACAGTTAATAGATAGTGAAGAGCTTTTAACAGCTCTTTAAAACTATAGTGCAGTGATATGAATTTAATTTCATGGGAATAAATATAATTATGGACAAATAAATATAAAATCGAGACAAGAATACTCTAGATAATGGAATCATAGCATAATTTGAACTGAAAGGAACCTCTCAAGTCATTTGGTCCACCTCCTTTTTCACATTTATTTGTAGTGTAATTGTGGACTGATACTCAGCTAACTATATACAGAATGGCCATAACTGGCCCAAAAGACATTTAACCTAAGTCAGCACAAGA